GTTCATATTAAATAAATAAAAATATTCCCTTATTCTTACCAGTGTAAGAAAAAGTTCCACAGCGTAATGTCCGTAACAAAAATTGTGTAATGTCCATAACAGGAAGTTTTTACCTCAAACACAAAATCTAAATACAGAATAAGGAATACAACTAGATTTTAAAGTTATGCAATCTGCACGATGTGTTGATGTGTTGTGTGTGTGTTCTCATCTTTGTCCCTGAAATCATATGGAGGGTCACATTTGGTCAGCCTTTGTGAATCATGGAGGTTTTTGTTGTTGTTTTTAATTCTAGTTGACTTTTGATAATTATAAATGAATAAAGGGGGTATAAGTTTCTAAGGGAACTGTGGTACTGCCTTGGTGGGAGAGTATACCAGGATAATTTAGTATTATCAGTTGAGTTGATAAGGTTTAAAAAGATGACATTTTGAGTTTTAGCCCTTTGTCAGAGCAAACAAATTGTCAGCTTTTAACCTCATTGCAGAGGCAAATTTACATTTATTTATCAACTCAGCTGACAATAAGAAAGTACTTTGATACAATTATATAATGTTGCCGTTAATACCACTTATAACCTTGGGGCACCTGTTAGTGCCCTTATTTGTGACCATCATTGTCTTTCATAACTGATATATAGTAACTGTTGTTCTGCTGCTTGTCTTTTCAGACTTTCTGACTTTATCTCTGATTCAAGGGTTATTTTCTTGAACCCAGGAAACTCTATACAAGGTAGGAGGACTTGCTGCTCTTTTTTTCTCTCATTTTTGAAACTTGCCTTCATTTTGTCAATCTGTATTAACCCTTTAATTGCCATGAGTGACCAAGACAGAATTTCTCCTTACAATATCAACACAATATCAACCAGAGAAGTGATGAGAGTAAAGAAATGTATAAATTTGGGGATGATTAGTTGATCCAATATTACTGTAAATTCTCTGAACTAACCTTATAAGAATTGTATGGTTTGGAGTAAGGATTTGATGTGAGAGTTAAAGGGTTTACTTAATAATTTATTTGCAGGGAATAATTTTGTCCTGTTTGCATATGTTTAGAATTATGCATGCTTTTATTTCACTCATATCCATGTAGTATCAATTATTTTTTCTGGTAATGTTATGTCGAGACATGTTTGTAGCATGTCGAAGCACAAAATCTGACCCAATGCTGGACGAATCACAAAGATCATGTAAACAATCCAAAATGTTGTGGATTAGGAGACCCTAAATTGTTTAAAAAATAGTAATCTGAAAGATGACTTTGCGGGAAATGGCTAAGAAAGGCTGTTTATTTTTGTCTAATGAAAAGTGTATGAAAATAGCTGGTACGCTGAAAGGTTTAAAATGATTTCAGTAAGACACAATGTATTCCTTAAGTCTCACCTGAACAACAAAACTAACAGAACTCAACACATAGAAGAACTTGCAGATAGGATTTTTTCCAAAATGGATGTACTTTGTAAATGAGAGCAAGTGCAACTGGCTTACTAAGAGTCAATGAATAGTACTCTTACAAAAAGATCAGAACAATCTAAGTTTAGTTATTAAAGTAGTGTTAAACTTCTGCAATCTGCAGTTAATTTGATCATTTATTTGCAAACATTTTATTTTCAAAGATATTTAAAAATCCTCTTAATATATGAAAGACCTGGAATATTGAAAGGTCCAGTGCCTTTCAGCTCTTTGGAGCCACAGTAGACTCTTCTCTTGTGGACAATATCAATATTGCTCCTCAGAGGCCAGTTAAATGTTTTCTAAACTTGGTGAAGAAATTTGATTTCAACCTCATTATCAGTAACCCTAAGGGCTCTTCCAATGTAAAACTTGTTGTCACACTAAAAACCTGTACTGCATTTCAGAAAGCAAGAACCAAAAGACAGCAGAAATACTAGTTAGAGCATGCTCAATAAAATGGAATTGTAAGGAGCATGCTCCATATGGGATACTCCACCTACCACAGTTACATGTACACCCAAGTGTGATATTAATGCTTTGGTTATCAGCACAACCAGAAAAGAGAATTAACCTTTAACTCCCAAGATCTAATTGTTAATTCTCCCCTCTAGCTGCTACACATTTCCTTGTAAATTAGTTATGAGAACTTGGTGCTAGATGAAGATAACAGCTTCTACCTGATAAGTTTGAATATTCTCATCACCTGTTTCCTGAATAATGTATGGATTTGTAGGGAGAAGTTTTACATTAATCACCTCTGGGAGTTAAAGGGTTAACTTGTAATTGGGCCTGATTAAGATAAATTTATCAGTTCTGACAAAGCCAATTATAAAAAGCTCTTAGATAAACATAACTATTCCTTATTCTTACCAGTGAGTGTAAGAAAAAAGTTCCACAGTGTAATGTCTGTAACAAAAAGAGACCCTTGTATAAAACATAGCTGAACGTTCTTGATGTAGAGGGCATACTAGCATTTTACATTTCCCTGTAATCTATGCTTAAATTGTATTCAGTAACAGCTCATATGCAAAAGAGGCATGCATTAATTTTTGCAGTTCCAGGTTCAAATCCCTGTATCAGAATGCACATGATTTGTGTGAAATCCCCACCTCCCCGGACCCAAAGAACTGTCCATTGATGTCGATTGACTTGCAAATGACGTAGGTGTCCAATTACATGTATCCGATTTGAAGTATGCAGACATTGGATACCAGTACATGTACTGTACCAACCTGATCAAGCACCAATTACATGACAAATAGGCCTCTCCAGAACAAGAATTTTGTTATAGATAATGAAAATAATAACGATAATGATGATAACGAGCAACTACAGAATACCCGGCCACTCACCCCCCTTAGATCTACTGCTCCCGTGGTCTATGGTGTGCAGTAGGCTGGTGAGTCAATACGTATTTATTAAGTGTTAAACTGAAGCGCTACCACAGTCCGCAGTCGATGAATAAGAAATTAAGTGTGGAACTGAACTGCTACTGCAGTCCCCAGTCCCGAAGTAGATGAAAGAACAAGGTATATTATTTTGTGATTTCTAATGCATTTATTATGTTATAAATTATGACGACTGTTGGACTGTGGTAGTAGCATTTGAAAATACTTGAAAAGTGGCTGGGTATTCTGAAGTTTAGCCAATAATAATAAACACAATTACATACTTAGTCTTGCACTTACCAGAGAAAAACTTAAGCAGCTGATTTTCAATAGGCACTTCAATGAAGAATCCACCGTTGTTTTGGATGCTTTTGCCACAAATGGTACAGTTTCATTTGACATCTTTGCCATAATATGCCTTGCAGAAACCACAGAAGTAATGCTTGACAACATTTCCCTTCGCTCTGCTCAGAAATTGGAACAGGTTGTTTACTGTTGTCTTGCAGTTGTTAGGCCGGGGACAGTGAGCCTCTATTACTGCAAGCAAATCATTGAATGCTTCACGTGTAAGCTTGTGCTTAAACACGAAAGATAGCAACAACACAACACTTGAGTTACTTGTCATTGGAGCTCCCGAATATAGCATGTCATCTGATTCTGCTCCACAATGTTCTGGAATGCATTCAGTGTCTATTTCATCAGGGTTCTCACAGTCACTGAAAATGTCCGAGCAAGCATCCTCGTCTTTGACAAATTGTTCAAAAGTGTTAGTATCCGCGGAATCAAACAGTTCAAATTCGTCTCCGCTTATCCTCGAATTATTTTCTTCTTCCAATCCAAATGTGCTTGAATCTTCCATGTCTTGCACTTGAAAATAGCTGCAGTCTTCACCTAAAATCATGCTGTTTGTTTCTGCTTCGAATATTTCAGCAGGATCGCCAGTACAAAGAGGCTGTGCATGTCGCGTGTCGGGAATCATTTCTTCAACATCGCATTTGTTTAAATCATTTCGTGTACCAGTTGATGATTGTTTCGCTTTATAGAGGTTGCCTTTTCGTCTTCTTGCCGCTGGAAATTTGTATAGATTAGAATGACGCATGTATTCTCGGTAGCGACCTCTTTGTTTTCGTGCAACCTTCTCGCCATCGTCGGCCATGTTTGTTGACTTAAAGTCTAGTTCCCGGTCCCTCACACGTTAACCCCACACGTGTTGTTATTCAAGTGCGCGTGCGTAGTGGACTTTCGGACTCAACACAAGAACACGTGGTGTTAAATTGACCAATAACGAGAGCCCTTCAGACCCACGCCAAAATGCGCGTCCTTTTCAAATTTTTCACACATTTCGGCAAGCCTTTCTTCAGAGAGTTTGTTACTTATACAGAGCGAGTTTTAAGGTTTGTTTGCCTATTTCCACTGCAAGAAAAGATGGAAAAAAATTCAAGGAAAAGAAGTGCTCCAGCGCGTCTAAGAGAAGGTAAGCAACTCGATTGAATCGTGTTTATGAAAGCACAAAGTGATCGACAAGCATGCATGTTGTCAGATCAGTGAAAAGAACTCTTTACTGATCAGTCTATCCAAGAGCAAGTTTCAATGATTGTAATCCGAAAAGTATGCCTGTTTACTACGTTAAGGCCGTAAGTACATGCACCTTAGTTGTTTATAATTTTTGCCAAACTATCAAGTTTATTCAAAAGGATTCACTTGTACTCTTGCATGCTTATAGACCTTGCATATCAAACATTTGAAGACAAAGAAAAGACAACCTTTACTCACTCTGCACATATCAGTTGCCTAAATTTCCCTGGAACATGTTTAAGTAATGTCTCTAGCTAGAGAGTAATAACAGAAACTACCGGTAAACTGAACTTAAAAGGAAAATTTGAGCCAAAGTTATGAATGGATTTCCCCCCTTGAATAGAACATTTCAATCAGTTCTATTGACTTTGGTGCTCCAGCAATATTATATAACGTTATGTTTTTTCATTGAGTTATATTTGCGTGGTGTATTGTTTATTTATTTGTTCGTTAATTAGGCATTCTTCGTACCCATAACTTGATTTTTTTTGTAAGCTGTTTCAGTGCAAACGACCAACAATGAACATGTAGAGGTCACAAACAGACTAAAATATAACTTAGTATATGTTTTTTTTATTTACAGATGGTAGAGGTCATGGAGGGATCCAGTGTCTTCTGGTACCCTCACCAACGGGCCTACTGTTCTGCGTTCAAGTCCTGGTCCGGATATGTCAACGCTGCTGTTGACATATTCTTCACCAAAGAAACACTTGCAATTTCAAGTGCAAGGGGAAGTGACAGAAAAGGCAAAAGCGGTGATGCAAACATTCCGTTGACCCCCCTCATCATTGATGCCCTTGTTGGTAAGTAGTGCAACACTGAATTATTTTATTCAGAAATAAGTACATAACTTGCAGTCATGGGGATCTCTAACTCACTAATTAGAACTTGAATTGACTGGGTTTTTAAGGCATTGTTGTCCTTAAAAAATAAGCAATTTAATACAAACTTGCATACAATAATTATGATATAGAATTGAAGCAGAAAGAATTTTATTTGGACACAAAGTACTGGAATCCCAGTAGTTTCCATTGCAGCCCATTACAATTAACCTGGATTGAAACTTCCACAAAAAATGTATAAAACTGATCTAAAGGTTTTAATCTTACTCCCTTAGCCACAGCAGAGATAATTAAGACACCAGTAAATGAAAAAAAAAATAATGTCACTGAGCTTTCAATTAAGTTATTAATTTTATAAATCAAGCAAACAAAACAGAACCCATTACAATTGATTACCTCCAATCAAGCAATTTTTGTTTCTTGGTAAGGCAACATTCCACGTATAAGTTGGGGTACTGTTTTACATGTAAATATGACTTAATATTAACTTAAACTTTTTTTTTCAGGTAAAGTCTGTTCAAAGTTTTCAAAGGACTCTCCTCAACCGAGCCAAATCATACAGAAGATAAACATGAAATGTGTGGAAGCTAGAAGGCCCCCAAGAGTAAGAGAGCAACGAGCAGAATGAACACTTTTTATAATTACTGTAAAACTGTTTAACTTCAAGAGTTTACCAATTTCATTATGTTGACCAAAAAGAAAATTTCTGTTTGATAATGTTGACCAAAATACAGAATAACAGTTTCATAGTCTTGGCCAAAAATAACAGTAACCGTATTATAGTGTCGATCAAAAAGAAGAGTAACAATTTGACAGAGTTGGCAAGTTAAGTCGTATTGCTTGATAAAAAAAAGTAGTGTTGTTAATGATAGTGTTGAGCGAGAGGAAAACTACCGGTTTCATAGTGTTGACCTAGAAGAAATATAAGATTTTTGGTTTTTTGTTATTTTTATTCAATTTTTTTTGCAAGAAATTTTAGATGCAATTAAAGATATGGTTTCAATGGACGAATATGATGTCACCATTACTTGCCTTTAACCTCACAGTCCCTTTAGTAATTTCTGAATCATATGGTAAAGATATGGGGCTGAAGTCAAAGGACCCCATAGTGTTCCCATATGAGATGTCAGCTTTGCTGAATGCTATGGGAATGATATGAAATCCCATAGCAATCCCATAGAGAATGGTCCAGGGTCATTATGGGAATGGTATGGGATTGTTGCATACCATTCCCCTAATGGATACTATGGGGAATATATGGAACTTTACGAAATACGTAGCAATCCCATAGAGAATGTTCAGCCATCATATGGCATCACTATGGGACTGACCCATACCATTCCCATACCAGATCCTATGGGGAATGTATGGAACTTTACGAAATACGTAGAAATCCCATAGTGAAAGACAATAGAATGCACTTGGCGGGCACTAGTCACTATTTATGGGTTTGATATGGGAGCTAACATCCCATATAAAAACCATGCAATGCCCATAGATTAGCCATATGTTGTCCCATACCATTTTCATATTTGGACCATATATGTTCCATATCAACAGCTTTGGTAAGGGCTCTATTGAAAATACTAAATTATATCCTGGTATACTCTCCCACCGAGGCAGCATCACAGTTTCTTTAGAAACTTACCCCCTTTATTCATTTATAATTATCACAATTCAACTAGAATTAAAAAAACAACAACAAAAAAAACCACCATGATTCACAAAGGCTGACCAAATGTGACCCTCCATATGATTTCAGGGACAAAGGTGATAACACACACAAAACACACCAACACATCATGCAAAATGCCCATTGTTCTCGTGAAATTCACTATATCTAACAGTAGTGGAAAAAATATATAGATCTGTAATATTAGCAAGTGAACTGTACTCTGGAGAGCTATGATTGGTCATAGATTATGCAGGCTGTCCTCCTCAGGGAATATATCACTCTAACTCATTAACTGTTCAGGCGGAGCTAAGAAACAACGGCTTAATAGAAAGTTATTGTTTATGCTATTGTTATAGAAAATCACTCATTCATGCTTGTGTTACAAGCTGGACGAGCATTCAATTTTGAAACCTTTCATTACATATTCATCTCTTTCTACACCTTACTCAATAAACACTTTGGTTCTATCATTAACCATATATAAGATTCTATTTTCATCAGTAAAATCCACCTGCACAATTTTTCTATGATCATAAGGACATAATAAAGTCTTAAAAGTCACTGACACCTGTTTCTCTGAAATGAAATGTGCCATCATGATTCCGAGAATCACGAGGGCAATTCCATGTTACAGACATTACATTCAGAGACCAATTTTTTGGAACCTAATTTCCTTAAAAAACTTATTTTGCACAGTTTTCAATGTAGAATTTGTACAAACATTCCTCACAGCAAGGGTACATGACCATCAGCAGAAAAGAAACTTTCCTTTCTTTGACAACGGCTTCCAAAATTTTTGGGTTAAACTCTGTTACGAACGTTACCAAAAAAAATCAACCTACAATTTTTTATGTTCGCTCGACACTTTTTTCCTTGTGAATTGACTATTCAGAAAAAAATTATTTCAAAATAACAGGAACAAAGCTGCTTCATAGCTTTTTTAAAATCTAGTTGTATCCCTTATTCAGTAGTTAGATTTGAGCTTGAGCTAAAAACAACTTGTTGTGGACATTACACAATAATTGTTACAGACATTACACTGTGGAACTTTTTTCTTACACTCACTGGTAAGAATAAGGAATAGTTTTGTTTATCTAGGAACTTTTTATAATTCACTTTGTCAGAACTGATAAATTTAACTTAATCAGGCCCAATTACAAGTTACCTTTTAACTCCCAGGGGTGATTAATGTAAAACTTCTCCCTACAAATCCATACATTATTCAGGAAACAGGGGATGAGAATATTCAAACTTATCAGGTAGAAGCTGCCATCTTGATCTAGCACCAAGTTCTCATAACTAATTTACAAGGAAATGTGTAGCTGTTAGAGGGGAGAGTTAACAATTAGATCTTGGGAGTTAAAGGTTAATTCTCTTTTCTGATTGTGCTGATAACCAAACCATTAATATTACACTTGGGTGTACATGTAACTGTGGTATGTACATGTGGAGTATCCCATATGGAGCATGCTCCTTACAATTCTGTTTTATTGAGCATGCTCTAAAACTAGTGTTTCTGCTGTCTTTTGGTTCTTGCTTTTTGAGACACAGTACAGGTTTCTAGTGTGACACTGAATTTTTCATTGGAAGAGCCCTTAGGGTTACTGATAATGAGGTAATGAGTTCAAATTTCTTCAGCAATTTGTGAATACATTTAACTGGCCTCTAAGGAGCAATATTGATATTGTCCATAACAGAAGAGTTTACTGCGGCTCCAAAGAGCTGAAAGGCACTGGAAATTTCAATGTTCCAAAAAGAAAATTTTTGCAAATAAATTATCAAACTAACTGCAGTCATTGCAGTCGTTAAACACTGCTTTAATTACTAAACTTAGATTGTTCTGAACTTTTTGTAAGAGTACTATTCATTGACTGTTAATAAGCCAGTTGATACTATTTTGGAAAGTTACACTGCACTGAACTGTATGAATTGACAACTTTCTCAAAAAAATTATCAGTGCAATGGCCTTTGAAAGTTGAAGTATTGCTTGTTTTAAGCTTCATTTCTGAAACATTGCATGCTATATTTTAATTTTTTATCTTAAGATATTATAAAAGAAGGTACTGACTTTAAATATGATATGTCTATCAGCAAACTTAATTCACACTCAGACTCGAACTTTTTGAAAATTTATACTCCTCATGTCAGTGTGGTGTTGCTACTGCTAATGTACAGTTGTTGTTATGGTTATTGTTGTTAGTGTTTAGTCAAAAACACTAAAACTTGGATGTGATAAATTTGAACAAAATTGGTATGCATGTAGCATTTATTTCTCCCAAAAGAATTACCATAATTAAAGTTATGCAGTCACAATGTCCATAATACAGTATAATGTCTATAATGTGATGTTCTTAATGTAATGTCTGTAACATAATTATCATAAAATAAAGTGGGCTTTATTTTTTCTTGCGTTTTCCAGGATTTTGGTAATTTACAACACTCAAGTTTGGGCCCCTAGAAAGTAAAATAGGAGCCAAGCAGACCAAAAAAAACTGGTTTTCAATTTCAGAGAAAACTAAAAAAAGGACTGTTTTTGTTACGGACATTATGAAATGTCCATAACAAAATAATGTTACTTGCTCTCATTTACAAAGTACACCCATTTTGGAAAAATCTTATCCACAAGTTCTTCTTTGTGTTGAGTTCTGTTAGTTCAGTTCTTCTGGTGAGATTTAATGAATACATGTGTCTTACTTAAATCACTTTAAACCTTTCAGCGTGCCAGCTATTTTCATACACTTAATTTTCATTGGACAAAAATAAACAGCCTCTCTTGGCCATTTCTTGCAAAGTAAACTTTCAGATTACTATTTTTTAAACAATTTAGGGTCTCCTTATTCCAAAAATTCATGATTGGGCTAGATATGAAATATTTTAGATTTCACTATTTAGGCAGTTGTAAAATAGAATAGGTCATGATGGTTTTGGTTATTTTTACCATCTCATAAAAATTGCTCTTGCCATTCGATGAAATATAATTTTAAACAATTGCTTTGGCTGTCAATGGCTATATGTAATGGCAATTTATGAATATCTTGAGCATGTTGGATTGTTTACATGATCTTCATTATTCATCCAGCATTGGGTTAGATTTTGTGCTTCAACATCCATGCTACAAACATCATCAAAAGTAACCTCTCCACATGAAAAAAATAATTTATGCAAAATCACCATGGTAGCCGCTAATTGCCAAAGGGTACCTTGAAGGACTTAAGTTAGGTTTAACTTGGCAAAACCTATGATAGACACTTTGCATAAATGTACTAATTTCCCAAGACATGCAAGCATGGGGTGAAAATTTCTAATCCATAAGTACTTTGTCAAGGATGGAACCAGATCTCTGCACAAGATCTTCCATATTCCTGTTTTAGGAGGGGAGCTTAACCTTTGATTTTATATGAATTAATAAGTCTTAACCAGTGACCCAAAATTGAGTCTCTCGAATGTTAATGTTCATAAGTCAACATACAGTTGAAGCACTTCACAAACCTAGCTGTACTTAGTAATTAAACCAGCAGTATATCAGAAGGACCACCAGAATTTCAGCAAAATTTTCTAAGAGTATTTCCACATGTTTGTAGCCAAACATAATTACAACCATTGATCACAATATAATTAAATAGTTAATTAATATAATGCATAGTTCTTGACATAACATTACCAGGCAAAATAATTAATACTCACATGGATATAAGTGAAATGAGAGCATGGAGAATTCTAAACATATGCCAACAGGACACAATTATTCCCAGCAAATAAATTATTAACCCTTTTAACTCCCACATCAAATTTGTAATTCTCCTTACTCCCAATAATACAATTCTTATAATGTTAGTTCAGAGAATTTAGTATTGAATCAACTTATTATCCCCAAATTTATATTTTTCTTTACTCTCATCACTTATCTGGTTGATATTGTGTTGATATTGTAAGGAGAAATTATGTCTTGATCA